TGTGCAATAATAATGGCAGACTCAGAGTCAGACAGATAGGCAGAACCAACGGGAGAAGAGACGAGAGAGGGAGAGAGAGGGGGGGGAAAGACTGAGAGAGTCTGAGCAACTGAGCCAGAGGAGGGGGGGCCCAGGGAAAGGAGAACAAGCGAAACAGAAAAAAAAAAAAAAAAAATGGCGTGGGATGAGGATTTTATTTTTCCTTCTTTTTCCCTTGACCGGAAGACAATTTTGCAGTGAAGGAGAAGAAAAATAATCGGATTATGAGCATCAGAATAATAATTATTATTGATGGGGAAACAGCACGACTAAGCACAGTGGTTCCCAATACAAATATGCACTACAGAGTACCTTAGTAAGATTGGTAATATCTGTTATACTCAGAACATTCAGGGATCTCCCAGTATCAAAGTACGATCCAAATACCTTTCAGAAATTAGAATACTAACATGACAGATAAATGCTGTTTGCTAAAGGATAGATAGTCCATGCCATCTGGAGGATACAGATGACTACAGATGACTGAGGGATAAAATAGTGGTAGTAGGTATCTGAACCTTGTGCAAAATAACAAGAGAGAGAAAAAAAAAATAGAAAATAAAATAAAAAAGTTTAAAAAAAAAAGGTGGGCATGGCATTGATTTGCGCTCCTCTGGTTGGTGATGGCTGGAGTCGCTTCTTCCCGGCTTCCGTATTTCCCGCTTTTCTTTCCTACCCTACACAGTACTAACTACTCCGTATCTTGATACTGGAGAATTTCATTCCTGTCCATATAAACCTAGGTTCCTAAGTACTCAAAGACATCAGATCGATTCCTCTTTGATCAATTGGGAAAGACCAAAGATCGAGATACGAAGCGCTTCTTGAGATCATGAAGTATACAAATACCACCACTACCAAGTAATTCGCAGACACTCGATCATAGTGCCTTCCATAGTATCTATGCATAGTACCCGACGGAGTAGTATGGATGTTACTATCAGGGGGTCCGTGTTAATTACCTTGTAGGTATCTGTTCTCGGTATCACTCCCTTAATCACTCCTTGGTAGTATCTCCATCATACCTGAGCATATCCATCAGCTTTGTGTATCGACTCGAGAGAAAACACGATTACTGCGAACTAGCGAAACCTTTCGGCCACTCTCACGGCATCATAAGAGCTATCGATTCTGATCATCTTCATCGTAGAAGTATATTCATCCTCATTTTCATCAACCGTTGCAGCGTTGCCGGTAACCGGAAATTTGAAGGACATCTTGACCAGAAGGGTTAGTCACCGTCCACCCTCCGCGTCACTAAACTTCCTCACTTACCACTGGAATGACCTTTCCATCATTTGCTCTATCACCTTTCAACATGAATGGAATTAAGCCTTGAGGCCTCAGACAATGAAGATAAGAGATAACTGCTCCTATTATTGAGCTATAAATTCCACTATTGTATCCTCCACCAAAATCCCATCAGTCATGCCATTATGTTCACTGTTCTAATAACTACTAATTTTTTATTGTTGAAGAGGTGACCCAGTTTTGATTGCTTATATACGGAGTACACTATGCATGACAAAAAAAAGTGTCAGATTGAGAGTAGTCTCACCTTTTGCCTTGAAATCAATTTGTTTAACATCCTCTTTTCTCCTGGATGAGTGTTACTCTGTTCTTTAATTATCTATCTATTTGTGTCATTTTCACCTGTGCCATCTCTCAACCATCCCATCCCACCTTCCGGAGATAGTCGGACATTTCTACAGCTACTCCTTTTTCCTCACTTGTCTTTCTTTGAATACTGTTCAGCACTGCTTCCACAATATCAGGCTGCATTAACCATGCGATGATGGAGAGGAAAGCTGTGATGTCTCGATGGTTGCGACATGAATGTTCCTGAGCCGATCGAGAGGCCAACCAATATTAGGGGATATTGGTTGGCGGTGCGACGAGTATTTATACCGTAGAGGTGAAATGCTTATAGTCACCCCCTGTTCTTCTATCTTACAAGGTCAACAATCACATTTGAGAATAACACTCCTTATGGGTTGCTCCCATAACTTTTAGGAACCCTAGAGAATTGGTTGTAGAGGTTAAAGCAGCGACTGCCCTTTGACCGTTAAGTATTCATCCGATTTGGAAGTTCGTTCCACCATCAGATAGTCAGTCGGGTAACAATCGTAGCTGTCCTCATGCCATGAAGTCGCGTACGGAACCCGGGTGAACTTTATTGTCTCGTCGCCTTGCGCTTCGTCATACTATCGTTGGACTGACTTGGCCGCAAGTCGCATACGCCGACCATAGCTTGGAGAGAAAACTGATACCAGGTTGTTGTAGCAGTGTAGCTTTCATGGATTGAGGGAGCAAAGGACGCACCACAGATCTAGGGGAAAGGGACGAGCGTAAGAACCAGCTATGGTAGCTAGTATATCCGAAGATTCCATACTGATATATACTTGTTAGAAGCGTAGCAGAATGCACCTTGTTCCTAATATATTATCCGAACTACTAATTTTGAGCATTCGGAGTCTTTTGAAGCACGCGCAATGCAATTCGCATGCACAGGACCAGTTTGGATGACACGAGGGTCGAAATCGGAGGGCCATCTATTGACTTTGCGATCGATTCAAAACTATCTGTCAGAGATATTCTCATCAAATTCCTTCGTGTCTTCGTCTTGAATGGTAAGCCGCACCTGGAAGGGACTGTGGAAATTCCAGTTGTCAGATGATAGAAGCATCGGTTGCATTGATCGTGCAGTGGCTCTTCCAACATTTCAAGCCACGGCCTCATGGTGCATAATGAAATGCCAGCTGGTGTCTTCTTCTCATCACCCATTGGTCTGCTTTGTTCTGTTTGGAAAAGCAAATCAAGATGATGGTAAGTTCAAACCACTGCAAAAATGCAGACTATCGCCCAAAGGATACAAAAATACAAATACTTTGTTGTCATCATTCTTCCTTGGAGCCGATCCAACGAACTGCTCCATCTGGCTCTGGCCTCGTGGGCACTAAATAGACCTCAGGCATATCCCACTCCAGTCCGGTACTCCGTAGAGTTAGACTAGGTAGAATCCTAGGTAGCTTCCTACTAGGTAGTACGACGTGCCGCTGCCACAGCACGAAAGTTACACTTTTTAACTCGTTGCACACTCACCCTCACACTACTAAACCACCCATCATCGACAGAATCATGTATTGTGATTAGCCGCTATCCAAAATCTTCCTTGCAGGGTGCATCTCGAGTCGTGAACCTTGACAGTCACAGCCAAATAGCTCGTCTCTTATGATTTGTTCCGGGGTCAGACATACATCCTTGGGGGGGCTACAGGCTACCTAATGCCATTATTTTCCACACACCTGCGCCATGTCACAACATGGATGAAATGAAAAACACCCCGCTGAAATACGTCAGAATTTTTCCAAATTTTCCTCCACGATAGGTGGCCGTCTCACCCCCGCCTGGGGAGGGGGGCTTGGTAATACCAACTCGCATCCCAACTCCAACAAGCACATCGGCATCACACTGCAGACGGTCCATCTTCTCAGCTGTGCTGCCTGCGCATGCCACAATCCGCGGCTGCTGTCATTCAATCATCGCAATATTAGTAATGAACAGCGTTGGTATAGTATACGACACAGTACACATAGTTCTCCGCGAACACCTCCCCCGCGCTTCCTCCCTTCCTCGCTCAGGGAGGAACTGAGAATGGAGATGTGGTGGGGCATCTTGGAACGTGGACGGCAACTTGGGCCTCCCTGCACCGGCGCGGTGGAATTCTTGATTCTTCCCTCAGGTAAGTAAGGAGTGCCATCACAATGTGACAAGAACGTTTTCTTCTTTGCATCCATGCCATTTGTTCCGCACTGCCGCTGAGGTGGCACGGGGATACGGTTATTGGAGGTCTGCTCCCTGGTGCGCTCTTGTCTGCTGCGCCGTATGGAAATGGGATGGGATTCTTCAGGTAGAGAGATAAAAGGTATAGCTTAGGTAGGCTGAGATGGAATGACGTAGGTCTGTAGGTTTTCTATCTTTGTTCTGCGGTAAAGAGTTCGATCAAGGTCATATTTATTTAGTGGATTATGAGATAGAGTCTCCTTGGATGCATCCTACTCGGAACGCTGGTGGTATCAACTATCAATTGATCTCTAGATGTCTACAAAGATGAAGAATCCAGGAATTAGCATGTCCTAACATGACGGAGTCAATAAAATTATCTAAAAAGAAACTGCCGATAGAGCACACTGATGATTGGTCTAGCCAGTTCAAAGCTTTCTTTGTCTTCGCCTAACCCTGACAACTACTACATCCTGATCCGCTTGCTGAATAGGGTTACCTCAGACATCATAGCTGTCATATTGACGGATGGCGGCTCATTACATTGTAGAAAGATGATTGATCAAGTCAGTACATACTCTGTAGCCATGGATTTTCCTGTATGCCAGCTTATGAATGCAAGGTCTCTGCAAATTGCTAAGTGCCATAGAGACCAGCTTGTTGAAGACACAGAGGCATTAATCTCCGCCTATGTAGGAAAGGAGAAATAGGCTTATAAGTGAGACAGGACTCAGGAGATATCTACTTAGTAGATACTATCGATGCCACAGGAGCCAAAATGATGCATAATTAGGGCGAGGAGCTGCGGCAGGCATACTTAAAAGGGGGAAACAGAGCCAAAACGGCAAAGCATTGGCACTTTGGCAGAGCCAACACGTGCCGTCGGCGCAGGGGCCGAGACAGGCTACAGGTGCCCCTCGAGCGTTGCCAAAACGCGGGGCAGGAAACAAGTCGAAGAAAGAGAGAAAAAAAGGAGAGGGACAAATGGACAATACTAATCCATCAATAGTGAACGGTGAGGCTTAAGCGTATTCAGTAGACATGCTGGCATGGACAGGTGGATAAAAGGACTAGCCGGGATGTCGTCTCACAGACAGACAAAGAACGGAACTAAGCCATCGAGGTCGCAATCCAGTCGAGTCGAGTACTGGCTTGTTGATGCTTCGAGGCATATGGAATTCGAGATATTAATCAATATGCGAGGATGCTGTATAGCCTGCAATCAATAATGCCGTCCTCCAGCCCTGGTCTCCGGCACAGCAGCGGGTTGATTCCGGTACACGGGCACACTCTCCAGCTCACTATAGATAGATAGTTGGTTGGTCTGTGCCAGGGAGAGGCACTCTGATCATATTATGATCAAGCATAGACTACTCTGTAGATCATTGTCTGAGAATCCTCATGTTCTGTGCAAACTCATCAATGATGATTATCGCAAGGTAACTGGATAGATAGAGGGGGGGTGTGAATAATGATAAAAAAAATAAACCATCTAACTATTCACTGATGCGAGGCCGATGACTGGTTCGTTCATTACTCCTACTACTACTAAGTCCCTGGTCAACGCCTGCCTTTGGATGCCTTCTTCGTTTTTTTTTTTTGTTTCCTTTTCTTTTCTTCGCGATAACTACTCAACCTCATTCGCAACTGCCCCCAATTATCCAGGAAACAATAGGACTCGAAGTCTGCCACTCAGGAGGACCTGGTGATTGGAGACTCCATCCATCCAGAGAGAAACCAAACAAGCGGCCCCCTCTGTCTTATTATCAACGCCTGTACTCCATGCCAGCTCCGTCTCTCCTCTTCTCTCTTTCTTTCTTTCTGAAACACGTATTTCTCTTTTATTCAGACCAACGGTTTCCTCTCTGATTCTCCATCAATCTTCCTTCTTGGAATTGCTGCGTACAATCTCGGCTTGATGCGTGGTAGTTGGTTCAACCGCCACTCGATATAAGTATTGTTTGTTCGGCCGTGGTCTCCAGGCAGTTGGATGCCCCCTGGCTCAGGCTCACCACTTGAGCAAATCCTCCCCTCCGCTGTCTTTCCCCGTCGAATCCTCAGCAACTTGTGTGAATCCCGCAATATCTCTCTTCCCGATTCCTTAGAAAGAAAAAGGCAGAGAATCAGAAGAATTCTTCTCTTTTTCCGTTTTATTTATTTTTTCCCCCCCAGGCTGGTTCCTACCGGACGACAAGAGGATTTTCTTTTTGGCTTTCATTTGTACAATATTTCTTTATCCCTCCTGTGGTGTGGTGACTGGTACTTCAAATCAGTGCCACACTGGTTCCGAGTGGTTTGGCTGCGGTCCCCTTTTAAAAAAAAGGCTCGCTCGCTATCTGCTAGAACGGTTGAAGAGCAGTCGTTAAGCCCCGACATTCCCGATCGGTCACAAAGGAACATCCACCCATTCACTTTCATTTACACATTGTCAAATTCAGTCCAACCTTTGCCTTCCAAAAAATCTTTCTGGTGAAATCTATCGGCAACAGCAGAAACGCGATCGCGTCGCTCGTCGGTACCGCAGCAAAAATTCCGATTTTGCAGACCCATCGTCGTCAGTCGGGTTCTGCGTGGACTTCACTTTCGGTCTCTTCTGCAAATCTCTCTGCCTCCCGTTCAAAGGAGTCTTGATTTTCGGAGTAATTGGTCGACTGTATATTTTCCGGTGACGGATTATTCCCGATTGCAGACTCGGTTCAAACGTCGAGTTTGCTTCGGAGTTGTGGGCGGTTCGCGCAGCAGCCGTGCAAGTTCATTCCACAACGGTCTTTCGCTTGATCCCGAAGACCAACGTTGTCTGACGACGTTGGAGCAGTCTCTATATGATCTCAGACACACATGAGAATGCTAGATTCTCCTCGACCACAGGTGGAAAGTCGCCGATAGCCTCGGAAAAGCCCTCCATCATGCCGTGGAACTTGTCGTCCACCGACAGCCCTTCAGAGGCACACTCGCGTCCTCCCTTGACCTCCCAGCAGTCAAATTCCCTCCCGTCCACCCCCTATCAACATGCGCGCAATCTCTCGTTCCACTCAAGGACGCCGTCCCCTCCTCACGGTAGCACTTCCCCACGTTCGACGCACTCCGAGTCGATACACCTCCCACCGTCGTTACGAAAACCTTTCACTGGCTGCAAATACGAGACTGCCATGGCCTTTTTTCGAAGACGGATACCGTATACAATAGGTACCGATTTATTGCCGGAGGAGAAGGCGGGTCTGAAGGAGCGCTTGGATTCGGAGGATGAGAAGAGACTTACGCAAGACATGTTGGACATCTACGATCGGTTATTACCATCCGCTGAGAGTGATGATCGACGGCGACAGCTGGTTCGTAAATTGGAGAAACTTTTCAATGACCAATGGCCGGGCCGAGATATCAAAGTCCACGTCTTCGGGTCGTCTGGAAATAAACTCTGCTCAAGCGATTCAGACGGTGAGTGTTCGCCACCTTGATCCTTGAAAAAACCAAAAAAAAAGCCTCATGGGGAAATGCTAACAGAGAAACAGTGGATATCTGTATAACAACGACGTATAAAGAGTTGGAGCATGTGTGCCTGCTGGCCGAGGTTCTCGCAAAGCGTACGGAGGTCTCTGTTGAACGTTCTCGTGGTCCATTCACTAATACTTTTTTCTCTTGCAGACGGTATGGAACGAGTTGTCTGCGTCTCACATGCGAAAGTCCCCATTGTAAAGATCTGGGATCCGGAGCTGCGGCTCGCATGCGACATGAATGTCAACAATACCTTGGCATTGGAAAACACGCGTATGGTGCGAACATATGTGGAGATCGACGATCGTGTACGGCCCCTGGCTATGATTATTAAGTACTGGACGAAACGACGGATCCTCAACGATGCAGGTATGCGTTACCGCGGTAGATTCTGACATTAGCTCACGCTGACCCTCGGCTACAGGACTTGGGGGCACATTAAGTTCATATACCTGGATATGTCTGATCATCAACTTCCTCCAAACCCGGGACCCTCCCGTCCTCCCGAGTCTTCAGGCACGTCCACACAAGAAGAGGACGACGGCGGACGGTCTGGTTTGCTCATTTGATGACGACCTTGGCTCTTTGACGGGCTTTGGACGGAAAAATAAGCAAACCCTCGGCGAATTGCTCTTCCATTTCTTCCGTTATTACGGCCATGAGCTCGATTTCGAGAAATACGTCATATCCGTGCGAGAGGGCAAGCTGATATCGAAAGAAGAAAAGGGTTGGCATCTTCTTCAGAACAATCGCCTCTGCGTAGAGGAGCCATTTAACACGTCAAGAAATCTGGGGAACACTGCGGATGACACGTCGTTTCGAGGAGTCCACATGGAGTTGCGTAGGGCTTTCAAGGCAGTATCGGAAGGCAACCTCGAGGACTGCTGTGAGCAGTACGAATACCCCCCAGAGGAAGAGCGATTATGGGAACGACCCCCTCCTCAACCACGACCAACCTTGACGGCTCCGCCTCAGCCCTCGCGAGGTGGCCGGGGAGGCGGCCGGGGAGGACGTCATTCGAATCAGTATACGCGTGGGGGGCATGCGGGAGGTCGTCGGGCATCGAATAATGCATCGAACAAGCCCAACGGGTTTCGCCAGGCCAATCCCAACATCAGTGCGACCGAGCTGTCTCTGCAGGCGCAACACGCCCAATACCTGTTGCATGATCACCTCTACCAGCAAATCCAGATTCTCCAAGCGCAGGAGCAAGAGCTGCGCCTACAACTACAAAATCAAGCTCTGCTGACCGGGAGACCCCCTCCGGTGCTGATTCGCCAGCCATTCATACAATTTCCCATGCCTCAACAGCAACAGCCGCAACCTGACTCAGCTGTAGACGATAGTTCTCGGTCCAGAGCCGGTACTCATCCACCACTCAATGCGACCCTGCGACCCGTGTACAATAACAATGCCACCTATCTTCCAATCGCAGTCACTCCCGCTCAGGGAGGCGACACAAACCCTCCATCGCCATCGGCCGCGACGGCTCTGCCTGAGCTACGACGTACTCCCCGTCGCCAGTCGGTAGCCAACGGCTCCCCTGGTCGATCGCTCAGGGCACACTCGCAGCCGGCGCGGCCAGGGAATTCCCCGGCTCTTCAGAGTTTCGCCCCACTTTACTCTGTTTCTCAACCTGTCGACAGCTCCCATATCCTCAAACCGCGCAACAACTCTGGTTCCCCTGCGGAAGGCGATCAAAATGAAGATGACCATGGCTTTATACCCAGCAGTATGCCCAATGTCTCCCGCGCTGCGTATCTGGATGAAAATCGACCATCAGAGTATATGGGGTATTATCTCGCAACTTCGCCGCAACTGCAGGTTTATCATCAAAATGCTATGCTCTCCCCGTTGTCAGCTCCGGTGGGACTGGCGCTTCAGAACGGCAGCATCTTGCCGTTCGTCGGAGCTCCACAGGGGTACATGTCCACCCTAGCGACCACCGATAGTTTTGGGTCGCCGCCAGAAAGTGGCGTTGCGCCCAATTCTAAAGTCGCCGCATCGCAACCGAGAGCGACCCCTCGACCAGTTGCTTCCCATGACCGAAATGGTCCGCTTATAGTTGATGGCTCGGTGCCTCTAAGCGAACAGCGCGCCCCAGTCTCCATTGAGGGCTTCGATCACTACGGCACCATGAGCCATTGTACTTCCAATTCAGATGATCGCAACACGGACACTCCTGCCAGTATCTCAGACTCATATTCTCAAGATTATCAGGACAACAGTTCGGTTGAAATCGATCAGCCGATGTTCTTTCCGCGACAGGCAATGGACGCGCCGAAGTTAGCCAATGCCGGTGATGCTTGGTTCAATGGTCATAGTGAGAAGCCTGGCCTTCTTTCTAGCAGGTTGCAGAATCTGCACGTCTCGCATACTGAGAAAATGGCTGAAAAATCACCGAAATCTAGCCCCGAACAGTTCAGAGGGGGCCAGCCGCGCCAGGATATAGCTGATCATGATGCCTATCGTTCAAAACAGTCCCCGGCGGAGAGGGGATCTGCCCCGGAAACGCACGCTTCATCACCAAACAGCAAACGACGTTCAAACCATGCAGACTCGTCCGAAAAACCGAACGGCGTTGCCCACAAGGCCAAGGCTAAGCATCGACATGACAACTCCCACCACTCTTCTGGTGGTTCAGGTGACAGCAAAGAGCGGCATGTTGCTCATCCGTCTCGTAAAACCAACGGAATCGCACCGGCAGCGCACGATTCAAGCTCGCATCATGGCAACAACGGGTGGCAGACAACCAAGAAGAAGCAGAAAAAGGGTGCCAAGTCTATGGAGCATCGACCGGGCTTCCACGCTAGCGCAGAACCTCTTCCTGCGGAAGAATCGTTGAGAAAGGGTGGATGATGGCGAAGAAACGAAATTGCTGTTGACTTCTATCCTGTCTACTCTCAAGGCTTAGGTCTTTTCGCCCTTGCCGCAGGCTGCGTCGAGTAACAACCCTGATGGACGTCGCTCGTTCCACTCTCGAGCTTAGCACCCTCCTTTTTCGTCAAAACGATGTGGTGTCTGACTCGTTGATCAACGCAAGCGATTATACCACCTCATCGACACCAATATGACAGCTGTACAATGCCTGCTTTATTTTTTTTCGCGACGCCTGATTTCTGGCAACTCGGAACTGAGATTTTGCTGCGCTTTCACATTTTCAAGAGAATTATTGCGTGATTTTGTATAAAAAAGAGGACCTGTCCTCGCTGTTGTCTTGTGAATTCGGGCGACTTGTCTCTTCTCTTGCCTTGGACGAGAGAGGTGTATGATCTCACCTCTCCATCTTTTCTGAGTGTATGCATGTCATTTCAATTTCATCTGCAAAATGGCGTTTGCGGGGTCAGGCGTCGATATTTGGGAGTCTCCAGATCCAACTGTGAAGTACTTGCGTGGATCGTATGATTCTATACGGTGTCTGCGCTTGGTCTTTACATCTTCTTTGTCTCTTCCACATGTTGACGCTTCTATTGGCCATATCCCTTGGAGCTCATAAGATCTCTCGGGCTGTCATTTGCGCCTTTGACTTGTCTGTGCGGTTCAGTGTCCCTTCGTGTTGCATGCAGGCTATGCATTTTCCTCTTTGTTTCCTTCCCCTTTTTTTTTTTTTTTTTTTTTTTGTCGTTGTCGGGTTCTATTTACGTCTGTCTAGAGAAGGAGAAAACTAAAAAGAGCCAGGAGCAACAGCAAATATCACGACGAGCAGAAAACATACATCCATACAGCGAGTGGTCTGGTTACCTTTTTTTCTCCCTTTTTTTTGCATGTTCCAGTGTGGTTTGTTTTCCTGACCTCGGTTTTCATGGTTGCTTTCCAGTCGGCATTATCATCATGATCGTCTATACCATCATAGCAAGGGAGCCAGGCGAGCGGGTCAGTGTACACTTTTTTTTTTTCATTCTGTTGTTTGTTTGTGTTTGTGTACCATGAAAGAAATTTGCCTTTGCGTGTGTTAGATATTATGCCAGTCAGGATGGACAATGAATCAAATGTGAAAATTTGGAGATACCATATCAGTTCCAGTACCACACGATCTAAGAATTAACTGGCCTTGGGGCCCATGGATGTTTCTATAGTCTGCAGAGCACTTCTCATCGAATCTTGTATACACAAGGGGTATGTATCCCCTATACGAACCATGTCCATTGAAGCCATTGAAGCATGATGTCGCGTTTAAAGGAATATCAAGCACCCATCTCAAGTCACGGGGAGTACAAACATCAGTACAAACATTAAAGAAGAGAAGAGAAAAGAAAAGAAAAGTATAATTATACATGATTAAAAAAAAAAAAAAAAAAAAAAGGAAGAGACAGAAATTCCGTATCTACAAAAGATAGGTGTAAACACGAACCAGAGGCGAGGAAGAAAAAAAGAACAGGAGATCTCAACGTCATACACGGGCATACATGGTCGCTCTAGCTCTAGTGAAGGAGCGCAGTTGCAAAAATTTCTATGTGCGATTCGCAACGACTTTTGCGGCGTTAACAGAACGCTTCGATAAGCATGTAGGGGAAGATGACGACGCAGGCGGTCCAGAAGGTCATGATGCATTTGAAGAGGGCGATGGGGAAGAGGTAGGGCGGATACTCGCGGATGAGGACCCAGAGGGAGAGGAGGGCGACGGAGAAGAAGTGGATGAATAGGACGGAGGGTTTCTTGACGAGGCCGCCGAGGAGGCCGACGGGGCCGTCAGTGAGGCCTATTTGGAAGTAGCGGAAGCAGCCGCGTTGGAGGGCGCGGAGGTATTGATCTAGGGATTGTTAGAGGGAGTGGGAGAGATAACAGGGACGGGGAATGGAGGAAGAGGGGCTTACCGTTCGCGGCAAAGAGGGAGTAGAGGGCCTGGGCAAGGATGTTGATGACAGAGGCGGACTTCTTGCGCTGCCAGTGGAAGGCGGCAAGTTGGTTCAGGACGCGTTTAGTGTCGCCCAGGTTGGGGACTTTGGCGGGGCTCAGGAGATCGCGCAGCGTGACCACGTCGCTGAAGGCGACGGTCATGCCGCCGCCGGTCAGGGGGTGGCGCATGTTGAGGGCGTCACCGAGGATGACCAGGCCGGGGGTCTTGTTTGTGGAAGCGGGGAGGAAGGAGTTGGGCATGGAGCGGAGCTGGCCCTGTTCGAGGGCGGCAAGGAAGGCCGGCTGGACGGATTCGGGGAGGGAGGGGAGGACGACGGTGCGCAGGTGGTTCTTGACGCCGCCGTTCTTGACGGAGGCCGAGGGCAGGTTCTCGGGGATGTCGACGAGGATGCGCGTTTCGTGGGTGCCGATCTGGTACAGGAGGATGGGGGCGTTGTCGCTGAGCAGGACGTGGCCGTAGTACGGTTTAGGTAGCTTGGTATCGATGAGCTCGAGGGCCCAGAATCGCGAGCGCACCTTGGGGGTGTGCGGGTGATGTTGCTTGCGGAACTTGGAGGCGTAGCCATCAGCGACGACAGTAAGATGGGCGAAGTAGCACGCCTTGGTGCCGTCCTTGGCCTCGCACTCGACACCAAGGACCTGCTGGGTGTGCGAGCAAGTGACCAGGTCCGTCGCCTTGGTCTCCACGACGCTGACGTTGGGACACGCCAGCACAGCCTCGCGCAGCTTCATCACGAAGCGGCCATGATGGAAGCAGCGGCCCTCCGGCGCCGGCGCCGTAGGTGAGGGTTTCGGGTACTGGATCGACACGACGTCTCCAAAGTACGAGACATAGTAGCCCTGCGCGGGGATCGCATCGATGCCCTCCAGACATTCTTGCAGACCCAGCTGCTCCAGAGCCTGGACACCCCCGGGCTGCAGCAGCTCACCCACGATGCGATCGGGCTCCTTGAGCGAGGCTTCCAGCATTATCACACTCCGCCCCTGACGTCCCAATGCGACTGCGAGGGCGCAGCCCAGAATTCCGCCGCCTATAATCACGACATCGGCCTGGTTGTGGTTGAGTCGACGGAGTTCGGCCGCATCTGCGGATTTTGAAGCATGGCCGTTGGTGAGAGTGGTGGCCATGATGGATGAGAATTGGGGGGGGGGGGGGGGGGGG